TTGCCCAAGTCACTCCTCTGTCTGGTGCACCCCGATGATGCACCCCTTGCTTGGCTCACAGTGATCCATTCTTCAGGCCTCTGCTTGATGCCTGAATGCTCAGGGAGCCTTTCTTCACCTCCCAAGGCAAGAAGCCCTTTCTGGGTGTCTCTGTAACACCATGAGCCACCCCATCACAGATGATCGCATGGTGTTGTGAGCATCTGCCTGGTGTCCTGAGTCCTCCACTAGAATGTAAGCTGCTTGGGAACAGGAACTATGCTCCTGGGTGCTGTACTCTCAATGCCACACAGGGCCTGACCCTTAGTAGTGCTCAATAGCATGTGCTAAGTGAATGAATAAGTGAATGAGTGAGTAACAATGAATGAATGAATGAGTGAATGAGGTATTGGCTTCCCAAACCCTCCCCTTGCACACAGACTCACCCTGTCCATTACCTTCCCTACTTCCTGGCCTGCTGCAAGTTCTCCTGGCTTCTAACCTCATGATTCATTAAAGTTCTGTTTCATTCATTCATTCACTCATTCCTTCTTTCTTTCAAACAGCACCTACTGGCCAGGTGTGGTGGCTCACACCTGCAATCACAGCACCCTGGGAGGCCGAGGTGGGTGGATCACCTGAGGTCAGGAGTTCAAGACCAGCCTGGCCAACATGGCGAAATGCTGTTTCTACTAAAAATACAAAAATTAGCCTGGCATGGTGGCACACACCTGTAATCCCAGCTACTCGGGAGGCTGAGGCAGGAAAATTGCAGGAGGCAGAGATTGCAGTGAGCCAAGATCACACCACTGCTCTCCAGCCTGAGCAATAGAATGAGACACTGTCTCAAAAAAGCAAAAACAAAAACCAAAAAAAACCCAGCACCTACTGGGCACCTTTCTGTGCCAAGTGCTTTTCTAGCTTCTTGAGATACATCTGTGAACCAAATGGACAAAACTTGCTGCCTTCATGGAGCTTGCCATATACTGGGAGAGATAAAGACAAAAAAGTGAACCATACAATGCGTTTCAAAGCGGCACAGTGTTAAGGAAAAGAGCGAAGCAGGAAGAGAAAACAAATGAGAGAGCAAGCCATGTGCCTGTCTGGGGAAGAGCATTTCAAGAAGACAGAACGGCCCATGGAAAGGCCCTGGGGCAGAATCATGGCATCTTCAGGGATGGTGAGGAGGCCAGAGGGGTGTGGGGAGCAAGAGCAGGCTGCAGAGAGGTCACAGAGGTGGAGAGGAGCCTGTGGGTCTGACACGCACTTCAGGATTTTGGATCTTCAGGCCAGTGAGTTGGGGAGCCCTGGGGAGTGTGGAGTAGAGAAGGAACATGAACCAATTCAGAGTTTTAAAAGTCCATTCCCGACTCAGAGAACAAGGGTGAAGCCAGAGACGGCAACTTGGAGACTGTTCCTGGAATCCGGGCTTAACTAGGTTTAGGGTATAGTTTGACAGCAGAGCAGATAGTTTTGCTGATGGTGTTAACAGAAAAACCAGACTCTGTCAAATATCTTAAAGAGGTTTATTCTGAGCCAGTATGAATGACCACAGCCTGGGAACACGCAGTCACAAGGAGTCCTGAGAACGTGTCCCCGAGGCGGTCGGATTACTTTGGTTTTACACATTTCAGGGATGCTGGGGTTACGAGCAAAGAGATAAATCACTACTTGGAAGATACACTTGATCTGGCCCAAAAAGGCAGACTATCTTGAAGCGGGGCCTTACAAGTCATAGGTAGAGTCAGAGATTCTTTAATCCACAATTGATAAATGGAAGACAACTTTGCCTAAAAAGTTTGAGTTAGCAGAAAGGAGTGTTTAAGATAAAGATGCCGTAGGCCAGGCGTGGTGGTTCACACTTGTAATCCTGGCATTTTGGGAAGCCGAGGTGAGCAGATCACTTGAGGTCAGGAGTTCAAAACCAGCCTGGCCAACATGAAAAAACCCTGTCTCTACTAAAAATACAAAAAAGTTAGCTGGGCATGGTGGCAGGTGCCTGTAATCCCAGCTACTTGGGAAGCTGAGGCAGGAGAATTGCTTGGACCTGGGAGGCGGAGGTTGCAATGAGCCAAGATCGCACCACTGTACTCCAATATGGGCAACAGAGTGAGACTCCATCTCAAAAAATAAAAAAATATATAAATAAATTTAAAAAGAGCTGGGTGCAGTGGTTCACACCTGTAATCCCAGCATTTTGCGAGGCTGAGACGGGAGGATTGCCTGAAGTCAGGAGTTCGAGACCAGTCTGACCAACATGGAGAAACCCCGTCTCTACTGAAAATATAAAAAATCAGCTGGGTGTACTGGTGCATGCCTGTAATCCCAGCTACTCGGGAGGCTGAGGCAGGAGAATCGCTTGAACCCAGGGGGCGGAGGCTGTGGTGAGTCAAGGTTGTGATGAGCTGAGATGGCACCATTGCACTCCAGCCTGGGAAACAAGAGCAAAACTCCATCTCAAAAAAAAAAAAAAAAAAAAAAAAAAAAAAAAGATGAGGATGCTGTACCAAAATCAGCCACACCATGGCCTGTTGATCGAGATCAATGGCCTACAGGCTGACTTAGCCCTTCCCTGTCGCAGCTTTAGGTCTTGCTTATCAGTTGGTATCCTATTGCCACAGTGAGCCTGTTTTGTCTGTCTTGTGACGTTGATTTTACCATGAATGCTGGTCAGTGGTGCCTAAACCCCAAAACGGAAGGGATGTAACGAGGCATCTGACTTCCCTTCACCTCATGGCCTAGAACCCAGTTTTTAAGGTTCCTCTGGTCCCCTTGGCCAAGAGGGGGTCCTTTCAGCCAATGAAGGACTTGGGCTTTTATTTTTAGTTTACCATAAGGTATGGGACAGCAGAGAAATGGAGTGAAGAATGACTCTGAGGTTTCTGGTCTGAATAATCGAAAGGTCACCTGTGAGTTCCAACCAAACCCTCTTCCTTACCTGTGAGGCTCAGCTCCAGCCTCTGCCTTCCCCTTGTCATCCTCTCCGTCCCCCTCTGCAGCCCCAGCCACTGGAGGAAATGCCAGCACATTTCACCTGGCCTGGAGCCAGGCCGCCCGATCGCAGCCAGCTCCCCAAAAAGGACACTCCCACCAGGTCAGTGCCAGCTCTGCAAATGGCCCCAGATATTGCCCTGCCCAGCCAACGAGTGCTCAAGGCGTCAAGCAGCAATGCATTGTAGGTGGGTGACCACAACAGGTGAGAAAAGAGCTTCACAGAGAACATGGCTGACCCTCTCCTGCATGAAGTCCCAGACCAGAAAGACAGCAGCAGGTCCCAAGCATTAGGACCAACAGGGATGAAACTTAAGAGGCTATGGGAGCAGAGAATCCCCTCTTCCCTAAAGCAGGAAAGTCTCCCCAGGGGAGGAGGCATTTGACCTGGGCCCTGAAGGATAAATGTAAGTTTCCCATAGGGCGATCAAGAAGGAACATTTTGAGCAAAGGTGTGAAATCAGGAACATGTTTGGGGATAGTCAGGAGTCCACTGGAGCCATTGGGAGATGAGGCTGGGAAGGTGAGCAGGATTCAGATTTTGTGAGGCTTTCCACAGCGCACAAAGGAGGTCAGGCATGACCGTCCAGGAAGTCCTCACTCAATGCTGTCGTGGATAGGTTTTTGGAAACTGCAACTTTAGGCGAAAGGACTTACAGCAGGTCATCAAATAATGTTGTTTCCTTATAATATTGATGAGAACAAAATACTGGTTTTATTATACGCCTTGTCTTTGTGTCGAAAGTCACAGTTTCCAAGAATGTACAAAAACGTTAAGTGAGGACATACTGTCCAAGCACTGGGGAGCCATAGATTTCTGAGACAGGAGGGCTCCTGACGGCGACAGTTTAGGAGACATTACTCAGGTGGCCAGAGACTGTGGATCTGGGCAGGAATGCAGAGGCCAAAGAGGAAAGATCGGAAGGTGGTTAAAGAGAGACGCTTGCAAATCAGAGTGTGTCCAGAGGAGAGGACCAGGATGGAGGCCAAAATCAGGTCCTCAGATCACCTGGGGACCTTCAGACCAAAGAAGCGGTGACGTGAGAACACAACTGCTGTAACCCCTCCCAATTTCCCCTTGAGCCCAAATCCTAGCTCCCTGACTGAAGAGCTGGGTGGCCCTAGGCAAGTTAATCAGCGTCTCTGAGCTTCAGTTTCCTTTACGGTAGTACAAGGATGTTTTGGGTGGCAGAGGACAGAAAATCCAACTCACACTATCTTAAGCAACAAGGGATATTAACTGATTCATGAAAGGTTTCAGAAGCGGGGCTGCCGTCAGGTGAGGTCCAATAGCTCATAAAGAGTTTCAATGGCTGAGTTTTTCCATCTTTCCTCTTTGCCTTCTGTAAGGTCCAGCTTTCCCCTGAGGCTGACTTGCCTTGTGATCCCACAAGAACCGTCCCCAGCTCTTGGGTCTAGGGCCTTGCAACTTCCTGTAGAAAGCAGCTTGGTTCTAGCCAAAGTTCTAAGTCTCTCTGATTGGACCAACCAAGGTCATGTGCCCACCTCTGAGCCAATCACTGCAGACTGGGAAGAACAGTGCTGATTGGCTTGGCCTGCTGCACCCCTTGGAGCCAGGAGATGGACTCCTCTTCCTTGGAACCATACCGGGGCTGCTGGGCAGAGCTGAAGGATGGGATCTGGGATGCACTGGCCCATGTCCACCAACGTCACTGGTACCCATGGGGCGTGGTCACTGTGGGGACTGGAGATAATGTGTCAAAAGTACCTGGCACACAGTAGGTGCTCCTTGAAAAGCAATTCTTTTTGTTATTGTATGTAAAAGGCATCGTGAGAAAGAGGAATTCAATTTTCTGGGAAAGGAGAGACAAGAGCTTGCTCTGTCCTTCAGGCTGGAATGCAGTGGCACAATCATTGCTCACTGTAGCCTCTAACTCCTGCACTCAAGAGATCCTCCTGCCTCAGCTTCTTGAGTAACTGGGGCTACAGGCACGCACCACCATGCCCAGCTAATTTTTATTTTTGTAGAGATGGGGTCTTGCTACATTGCCCAGGCTGATCTCAAACTCCTGGCCTCAAGCAATCTTCCTACATTGGCTTCCCAAGCTGCTGAGATTACAGGCGTGAGCCACCATGCTTAGGCTAGAAATTAGATTTAATTCATGATCCCAAAGGATGAAACTAGTGTCCATAAACAGAAATTCCAGGGAGTCAGGTTTTGATTTGAGCTAAGAAGAAGTTTCTGATAACTAGAGTTGTCCTTGGTGAGGCTCCCATCACTGGAGGAAACACTAAAGGCTCAAGATCCCAGCCTCAGGGCTGCTCTAGGAGGTGTGGAGCAGAGGCCCTCTGAGGTCAGTGGGATTCCAGGATTCTCTTCTCTCATGGTGGTCCAAGAGGCAGAACCAAGAAATGAGGTGATTATCTCTTTTAAAAAAAATTAAAGCAAGGCATCAGAAGCATGCAAGAAAAGAGAATTAACAGCTTAAAACTCCCTGAGCCTCTGACAATCTGGTCCCGAGGCTAAGGGGGACGGGAGACAGTCACACCCAGGGATGGATCATGCAGGGTGGCTCCCGGAAAGCTTGGGACTGGGGTGGGCCTCGGCCAAGGCTCTGGGCTCCCCTGGGAAGTGAGTGGAGGAGGCAGAGAAGGGACATTCTAGAAAGACCTTGACCATCTATCCTTGGGGTCTGTGCCCAGCAGTCTCCAGCCCACAAGGCCAGGTCAGCACTGGGGACTGTGGGAAGAGGACCGAGCCACAGAGGAGGCTGGTCACAGTGGCCAGACAGGGGCAGGATGGCATCCCAGGTGACCCAGAGGAGGGATAAACAAGAATGTGCACAGGATGCTGGGAGTAGCCACCCAAGGAGGACAAGGGCCAGACACCAGACACCCAGGGCCAGACCCCGGCATCTGGCCCTAGCTGTCCTTTGAAGCTGAGTTCTCACAGCCTGGCCACTCTCAGCCACATGCTCCTCCTGGAACTGCCTGGGCTTCCTTCCATCCCGCCTTTCCTCCTGCTGGCCCCACCTGCCCCTCCCCCACACATCCAAACTTCCAGCCTTCCAACACTTCTGTGTCCTTCAAGGCTCTTTCCAAATGCTAACTTCTCCCAAAGGCTTTTCTGGTCACTGCACCCACCAGCCACCTCCCTAACATCTGAATCCCCTGCCACAGCACAGCTCCTTGTCCGGGGAGCCTGAGCCTTCCCCCTGTGCACCACAGTGGGGACAGCTTCCCAGGCCAGGCCACCTGGATATTACCCCGTAAAGGACTGTGGCTCCGGGAGTAGGCTCTGGGGAGAGGAAGGGGGAGCTCAGACAAGCTTTGTGACTCTGGGTAAGTTCTATAGCTTCTTTGAGTTCTTCCCTCTGCCCTCGGCCCACCATCTGTAAAATAAGGAGCATAATTGCACACAATCAATAGAGTTTTGTGAGGAATACGTGGATACAGTAGTAAAGTTCTTAGCCAGGGACTTGGCAATAAATGTAAGCTGTTGTCCACATCAAAGTCAACATGACAGCCTAAAGTCACACAGCCTGGAAGTGACACTACTGCGATTGAGACTGAGGTCTGATTCCACATGTTCTTTCTCAAGGGACATCTGAAAACAGGAAGGAAGCGCATTCATTTCACCCAAGGGAGGTTTATTCACAAGCATCTGGGAAGCATGCTATGCATGGCCAGCCCTGAGAGATAACCCAGGGATCTGGGCCCGAGCTCTTCAGGAAGAAGGAAAGGGAACGGACACGTGAGACAGCTAGTGAATGGAGCCATGGCTGCACTATCCGAACTCACAGGCTGAGTGGCAGTCCCCACCAGCCCACACCAACCCCCGGCCAGGCCCAGCCCAAGCCAGCCCAGCGCCCCCCAGGGCTTCCCTTGGCCTTGAACTTGAGTGAAGGGAATGAGCTGCAGCCCGCAGATGCCCACTGTGACCGCCAGATGGCGGCTGGAGGCTGCTAAATCAGACTGTCCTTGGAGACCAATAGGTCACCTTGGGTGGTTTTTTTCTAGAAGAAGGTGGCAGTGCCTGGCAATTAAAACTGGTCAAGGGAAAGGAACAAAGTGGATGTTTTAAGGCATCCATCACTAAATGGGCAAAAATGGCCCCGATGCAGAGAACCTCCAAGGACTGCTAAATTAGAAACCAGGGCAAGGTGGGAAAAGTTGGGGATGGCTTCCCTGCCTCCCTCTGGAGTTGAACCAGCCAGACCCCCGGCTTCCGCCTCCCAACGCTGAGGCCCGCCCTCCCGGACGCCCCTGGGCGGCGCTAGTCCCGCCTCATGGTGTAACCCTGGATCATGCTGTTGAAGTAGGCTGGCGTGTTGCGCTCCGGGTAGAAGAGGATCATGTAGCACTTGGGGCCGAAGTAGCCCAGACTGATGGCCAGGAGGTTGAACACGGTGACCAAGAGGTCCACGATGGTGACCAGCACCCCATCGTAGACAGACATGAAGGTGCAGAGGGAGACGGACGAGGTGAAATAGAAGGTCATGCTGAAGGTGATGAACTTGGCCTCGTTGTAGTTGGTGGGCAGCTCCTTGCCCATGTAGGCGAAGCTGAAACCCACCACTGAGAGCAGCAGGTCCAGGCTGGTGTTGAACAGCAGGCTGTTGCGGTAGTTGGGGTTGCAGGAAATGATCATGATCTTGGGGTCATCGGTGTCAGTGCGGGTGGTGGGGTTGAGGCCCGTAGCCAGCAAACTGATCACCACAGTGATCATCTTGAGTGCTGTGATAAACGCCACAGAGACGTAGGAGCCCTGGTAGCGGACCCAGTAGCTGTAGGCGCGCGGGAAGCGGCTGGCCATCTTGAAGACGCAGACGATCTGGAAGGAGCGCACGGCGATGCAGGAGATGCAGATGGTGAAGCAGACGGGGAAGAGGGCCTGGCGGCAGAGGCAGGTGGAGACCTTGGGCAGCCCCACGTACACCGGGACCACCATGTACGCCACCAGCAGCAGCGTCAGCATCAGGAAGCACATGGGGCCCCCAGCCGAGCGAACCATGGGCGTCTGGAAGTGCCTCCAGAATATCACCAGGATGGCCAGGGTGCTGAGGAAGCCCAGGGCGGCCAGCAGGGCCACAGCGATGGTGGCTGCCTCATGCCATTCCAGGAAAGACAGCCGCCGCTTGAAGCAGGAGGTCTCACTCTGGTGGGACCACTCGTTACTCGGGCAGGCCTGGCAATCATATTCATCTGCAAAAGCCCACAGTGACTCCTATTAGCCAAGCCCATCTTCCAAGCACCTGCATCCTCCAGCCCTGCAAAGGCCCAGGCCCCAGGGATGGAGAGAAGGCGCCAAGGGAGAGAGCACCAGGGGCAACCCTTGCATTCACAGCAAATGCTCCTCGAGTCTCTTATGTGCATTGGCTCATCAAACCTCACACAACCACACTTCACCGATGAGGAAACCAAGGCTCAGTCAGGTGAACTAATTTGTCCACAAAGCCAGTAAATCAGAGAGGTAGGATTTGAACCCAGGTCTTATTGGCCCAGAGCCTATTACCTATAGTTCCTCCCTTCCAAGACCTCACCCTCTGGTGTGAGAGGCATTTAACCACTTACTAAAAGAATGCATTCGATATGTGGTTTTTTTTTAGCACCATCCATTATATTAGGCACTTGGGGTGGAAGTCCACAGAGAGATGGCTAAAACCCAGCCCTTGCCTTCCAGCTATTGACTGGCTGCGAGAGGAAGGCCAATGAAATCATTCCACAAACTGGCTCACCACCTCCTCTGTGCTCTGTGGTCTGCCAGGCACATAGTAAATACTTGTATTTGGTAAATGTCATCATCCATTTAATTTACACTAGTGAAGTCATTAAAAAAATGAGCTCCAACTCTGAACTGTGCAAAACACTAACGTGGACAGAAATGGCGTTGTCTGCACCTTCCTAGAGCGTTCTCTAGGGAGAAATGATCTTTCTTCTCATCAAGGAAGTCATTTGACCAGCACTCGCTGAGCAGCCGCGCTGTGCTGTGAGCTATGCTAGGCACTTGGGAAGCCAGAGGGATAAATGAGTTAGTGTCTTCCCTGTCTGCCAGAAACTTCCCTCCCTGTCAGAAACTTCCCTCCTATTGCAAGCACCATTCATCCATTCATTCATTCATCATCCAGTGGATGTTCCCTGGGCCCTGGGCTGCGTGTGTGCAGAACGCACTCAGCTGCAGCCTTGCTTGGGGGAATGTTGTTCCTTCTCCCTCTCTCTCTGAAGCAGTCTGTATGGAGAATTTCGCTCTATGCCAGGTTTTGGGAGGTTGTAAGAGGTATCAGATATGGCCTTTGGACACTCACACCCCCCTGAGAGAGACTCCAGAGACTCTGCCAAAGGGGACGCGCCCTAGAGACTCCAGGGGCGGGGCAGGAGCAGGGCAGGGGTGGGGCAGGAGTGCTAGGCCTCCAATCATACTTGCAGTCTGATTGAGGAAGGTGCCTGGAAGGCAGTCGATGCACTCGAAACAGCAGGTGTGGATGCCCATGGGCTTCTTCTTCTGCCCTGACTGGCACCTCTTGGAACACATGGACACAGGGATCTGGAGGGAGGAGGGCAGGAGAACCTGAGTCTTCTTTTCCCACATTCTGGGGTCCTCCTCCCCTCTGCCACCAGCAGCATGTTCAGGGAAGAAAGCCTAGTCCCTGCCTGGGAGGGGAAAAGGGGCTGGAAACGCCACTAGAACCAGACCTTTGTAAAGACTCTTAGTTTTGCCTGCCCAAGACTTAATCCACCTTCCTCTGGTAATAGTACCCAACTGTTGAGTCAAAGATTTTCTGAGGCTGCTGGGAGGCTAGATGCAACTCTGGGGCTGCTGCAGCCATCTTGTCATGAAGGAGACAACATGGCTGAGGAAGAATCCGAGAGATGGAGAGAGTGAGACCCTGGATCCATCTGTGCCTGAAGCCTCACTGTCTATCTCCAGAGTCTTCGGTTATATGAAGCAATAAATTAACTCCTACTGATCATTCCTCATTTGTTTGTTTGTTTGTTTGTTTTTTGAGACGGAGTCTCACTTTGTCACTTAGTTGGAGTGCAGTGGCACAATCTTGGCTCACTGCAGGTTCAAGCAATTCTCAGCTCCACCTCCCGGGTTCAAGCAATTCTCCTACCTCAGCCTCCCAAGTGGTTGGGATGATAGGTGCATGCCATCACGCTCAGCTAATTTTTTGTTGTTGTTGTTGTTGTATTTTTAGTAAAGACAGGGTTTGGCTGTGTTGGCCAGGCTGGTCTCAAAGTCCTGACCTCAGGTGATCCACCCACCTCGGCCTCCCAAAGTGCTGGGATTACAGGCAAGAGCCAATGCGCCGACCCTGATCATTACTCTTAATGATAATTGCTTACATCATTTTCTGTCACTTGCGACCATGACTCTTAATTCACACAGCCTTTCTGGAAGGGCAGAGACTTTTCTCATTCAGGTGAACAAGAGCAGGCAGGCAGCATTCCTGTCTATTGTTTTTACTTCTTTATTTCCAGAGCATAGAAGAGCACCCAGCACAAAGGAGGCCTGCAATCACGGCGTATTAAACGAATGAATAAATTACATGGAGAGAAAGCAATAAAAGCAATGGGAAGAGGGTGAAGGAGGACGGCACAACTGGAAAGATGGAGGATCTGGGCCCGGCTGGAGTCAGGAGGCATGGGGAGGTGCTGGGAAAGCCACATTCCAAAGGCCACTCTATGGCACACTAACAACACCGGGGCAGTGGGAGGGAACCACGGCTCTCCAGCTGGCAAGTGGCCTTGTAAGATTTGTGTTGTATAAAAATCATTCTGAGGACCCATTAGGCGAGTGTAGCATGAGCACACATAAGAAGGGCCAAGGGCCCAGACGAGGGCAGCACCTAAGCCCTCTCTCTGGCCCCTCTATGGTCCTCTGCTTTCAGGTTCCTCCCTGTAGTCCCTCTTGTCCGCATCCATCAGGGGCGTTTCCAGATGTCACATTCCCCTCTCTGAAACTTCTTCATAGAAGAACCTCCGTGACTTTCCATCAGCCAGAATAAAGCATCTTATCCTCTGCCAGGCTTTCTAGACCCTGGTGTTCTCTGCCGTGTGTGTGATTACACACATGTGCAAGGAGGTGCACACCAACACACACAACACACACACACCCCTTATCCAGACCTGCTTTCCACCACTCCCTTGCCAGATATCCTGTCTGCCACCTTTCCCTGAATCATCAAATTAATCCTACCTCATGTCCCTGGAATCTCATCCTGCTGTTCATTCATTCAAAAAGTTATTGGGCACATATAGTGCCAGGCACTAGAAACACAGCAGCGAACCAAAGGAGTCAGAGTCACGTTCTAAAGGAATTAGTATTTTCATGGGAAAAGAGAGATGATGACAAACATATGAATATATGACGTGATGGATGGTGAGAAATACTGCTAAGAAAAATAAAGCAGTACAGAAAGGGTGGAGAATGCTGTGGGCATGGATCCCACTTTCAAATGGGGTGGGCAAGAAAGGCCTTGCTGAGCAGGTGATGTTGGAGGAGAGACCTAAGCTTGGAAGGGAGTACATCATAAAGATATCTCTCCAGGCAGAGCGAACAGCATGTGTAAGAAACTTGGTATAGTTGAGGAAGAGCCAGGCCAGTGGGGTTTGGAATGGACAAAAGGGAGAGAGGCAGGTCAGCTCAAGGAGGTGGAGTCAAAATACTCTGGTGTTTGCTCTGAGTGACATGAGAAGCTACTGGAGGATTTCAGGCAGAGGAGCGAAAGGATCTGACTTCATTTTAACAGCATCGCCTTATTTTCTGTGTTGAGCGTAGACTGCAAGATACAAAGGCAGAAGCAAGAGATGAGGTAAGGTGTTATTTATTTCCCCAGGTGAGACGTGGCCATGGTTCTGACTAAAGAGATAGCAACGGAGGTGAGAAGCAGTCAGATTCTGGATGTAATCTGGAGGTAGACTGGATGAGATTTCCTGCTGGTGGATGACGAAGGAAGGAGTCAAGGATGATGCCAGTGTTTTTGGTTTAAACAAGGGTGTTGCCTTCTGTTGATATGGGAGGACCTTGGGGGAGCAGGTTTGAGTAGGCAAATGAATATGTAAATTGAACTTCAGGGGAGAAGTCCAGTATGAAGATACAGAACTGAGAATTATAAATATGTGGATAATATTTCATGTCAAGTAGACAGAGAAGAGAATAAATCTAATGTCTGAGCCCTGGCATCCTCCAAGGTTAAAGATAAGGAAATGAGGGGGAAATGGAAAAGGAGATTTAGGAGTGGTCATGGGTGTAGGAGAAGCAAGAGAAAGAATGGTTCAGAGTCCAGGTAAAGATACTGTGTCCAAAGAGAAGTGATCAGTTGTGTCAAATGTTATTTACAGGATAGCCATCATGGAAACTACTGGATTGGCAACACACAGACACTGGTGACCTTGACAGAAGCAATTTCAGAATAGTATTGTGGATAAAAGCCTCCTTGGAAGGGGTGCAGAGAGATTGGGGGTCTGCCGATTTCCAGACTAGGATGTAAGGAGCTTGGAAATCATCATTCCCATCCTCAAACCAACCAAAAAGCTGAACAAACTGAAAATCAACAATTCTTCTTAGATCCATCATGGAATCAGGGTCACAGGGCAAACTGCAGCCCCCAAAACCAGAGAGTGAGGTGGATACAGAAAGTGTTCAGAATATATGAATCTAAGGCACTAGGAGTAGAAAATGCCACTGAAGACAACAAATGGTAAGAAAACTGAAAGAGTAAATGACTAACTGCTAGACACTAAGTGTGGACTAGCTTAGAGACAAACATTTCTGAGGCACAGCCTTAGGGGTGCCCCTAATATTGCCATAAGTTTAACCTCCAGGAGCCCCATAGGTTTTGGGAGGGGAAATTGTAGAAAAGACAAAAACCTCATGCTTCTAGCAGGGGGATAAGGAAAGGAGCCATTTTGAAATATGCTCAGAGCATTCTGTTCTCCTTAACAAATGCCCTTCCTCAAGGGAAACTATTTTACCAGAATCCAACTGCTGTGAATTTTACCAGAACTTAACTGACATGGGAAAAGAGAAATTCCCAACTCCAGCCCTCTCTAGCCTTCTTGTCTTACCTAAGGGGTGGGCTGAGAAGCACTTATGAAGGCCACAGTTCTGGGGCACAGGCTCACTGAAAGATTGACACCCAATCATAGGATTACACAACACTTCCCCTCTACCTTAACACCACATCAATCAAGGGATACAGCTGAAAGAGCTGCAAGGCTCAGACTGCATTTAAGAAGGAATATCTAGGGAAACCCAAAGATGAAATAGGAAACAAAAAAGGACACTAGAGAAAATTTTGGCCTCTGACACCATTGCTATTTATTTATAGCAAATAGTAAACATAGTTTAACTCCTACCCAAATAAACATAAAATCTCATACTACAAATTTATTTACCTCAATTTCTTTTACCCAATACGTCATGTCTGGCTTTCAGCAAAAAGTTACAAGCCATGCTAAAAGGCAAAAAAACACAGTCTGAAGAGACAAAGTAAGCATCAGAACCAGATTCAGTTATGGCAGATATGTTGGAATTATCCGATGGGAAATTTTAAATAACTGATTAATTTTCTAAGGGCTCTAACTGAAAAAGTGAACAACATGCAAGAAAAGGTAAAAAATGTAATCAGACAAATTGAAATTCTAAGAAAGAATACAAAGGAAATGCTAGAAATAAAAAACAATCAAACAACAGAAATGGAGAATGCTTTTGATGTGATCACATAGGCTGGATACAACTGAGAAAAGAATCAGTGAGCTTGATGATATGTCAGTAGGAACTTCCCCAACTATAAACAAAGAAAAAACAACAACAACAGTAAAAGACCAGGTACTGTGGCTCATGCCTGCAATCCCAGCACTTTGGGAGGCCAAGGTGGGTGGATCACTTGAGGCCAGGAGTTTGAGACCAGCCTAGCCAACATGGCAAAACCCAACCTCTACTAAAAATACAAAAATTAGGGCCGGGCGCGGTGGCTCAAGCCTGTAATCCCAGCACTTTGGGAGGCCGAGGCGGGTGGATCACGAGGTCAAGAGATCGACACCATCCTGGTCAACATGGTGAAACCCCGTCTCTACTAAAAATATAAAAAATTAGCTGGGCATGGTGGTGCGTGCCTGTAATCCCAGCTACTCAGGAGGCTGAGGCAGGAGA